GTGGCGCCGCGGCCCACATGTGAACGGGCCGCTTAGTACACTCGAGGACCTCCGCTGGAGATGGGGCGGGCGATGAGTGGTTGATGGTATGCGTGGGAGCGAGAGGGGAAAGAGGGCGTCAGGCGGAATCTCAGTTAGCGGAGAGTGAAGGGGGGGGGGGCGCACAGTAACCTTCGTGACCCCGCGGCCCGGCCCCCGGCCCCGGCCAGGTGAGGGCAGCTGCAGCCGCGAGGGGTCGATATTGCATTCTGAGCGAGTCTGAGTGAGTCAAGCAGCAGAGTGGTTAGGCGCGCAGCGCGGGGCCGCCGCTGCTCCTTCTACAGCTACAGTTCAGCTGGTGATGGTGATAGTTGTAATGGTGATGCTGGTGATGGTGATTGTTATGCTGATGGTGATCAAGCGCCCGCTCATCAGGCGGCCGCCCGCCCGGGACGACGCTTGCTCCACATTTGGCAGTGTCTCTTTCTTCTCTCAAACTCTTCACTCTCTCCAATGGCTGCTGGAAGTGGTCGCCGCGGGACGCCACCATCCCCCCCTGCCCCACCCCGCCCGTCCTGCCCATCGCTCTCAAGGCGTGCCATAACAATCGCAGCCAAATGGGTCCCTCCTCCTCCGAGGGTCCCTCCCTCCGCCTCCTGCTGGGGGCTCCGCGACCCCGAGTGGGGCATTAGCTGTACGCAGTGTGGCGTAATCACTATTCGCAGGGTGGGGGTGAGCGGGGGGCTTATTCGCAGGATGGCTGACTGCTGGCGGGGAGGGGCGGGGCGGGCGGCGGAGATGGGACGAGACGACGGCTGAAAGCCCGTTGTGCTGCGCGCGGAGAAATAAATTGGAAGCTGCTGCAGAGAGAAAGAGGCATGGAGAGGGGGAGCGGAGGGATGGGGTGGATGTCGAGGCTCACGCTCCATCTCCGAATCGGCACATTTCCTCGGCGGAGCAGCGGCCGGTGGTGGTCGCGGGTGTGACGCGGTTGCGCGGCGCCGGGGGAGAGGCGAGGCGAGCCGAGGCGACATAAGAACGCCCCGAAATGGAAAACGATTCGTTTCGCCTCGGCTGGCTTGGGCTGGGCTGGCGGATCCAAGTGCGGGGATCGAACCCCGAGCCGTGCGGTGGGCTCACTAGCGGCGCTGAGGCAGCAACAAAAAGGCGCGTTGCCCCC